TCTTCATGTCCATCTTTGATTTCTTTGGAGTTGAGGGAATTGTGAGAATTGAGTGAACCATGCAGACTCAGTCTTGTGACTTAATTCTAGAGCTACCTCAGTTCCTTTTCTATTCAATTATGGGGCTAGTCCAATTTCTGTCTTGTGAGAAAATTTTACTCATTTATAGGAACTGTGAGAAAACTTTATTGCATTGTTTGAACTTCACCCTGTGTGGCTAAGAATTAGACTACCTCCACCTGCTACTTAGAGACCCTTAACTAAGGACCTAGGTTATGCTGACCAGAAACCCAGTAAGCTCTGAAGATTGATGCAAGGAGTTTTCTCACAATTCTACATCTCAAGCAACTCATATGTCTTATCTAAAAATTGGCCCCATACTGATCAATCCGTTACTGCTTCCTTGTTCCTTGATTGAATACAGACACTTGGAGGAGTGGGACACTTCTTTTTCTGATTTCAGGGAATTGCATCTGTTGGCTCTACCCCTTCACAACTTGGTTTTTATATTACAGATACTAGTTCTGGTTTTATTTAGATTGTATTTATGATATTGAGGAAAGATCCATTAATTCCTATGCTTTCCAGAGATTTTAACCTAAACAGGTGTTTTATTTTGTCAAAAGTTTTTTTGCTTCTATTGATGTTATCATGCAATTTTGTTGTTTTATTGTTAAGATGGTCTATTATATTTATAATTTCCCTAATATTGAACCAATCCAAATTCCTAGCCTAAAAGTGTAAAATCTTTTTAATATGTTGCTGTGGGATCTTTGCCAAGATTTTGTTAAATATTTTGCATCAATATTCATTGATATTGATCTACAGTTTTCTTCCTCTGCTTTAACTCTTCCTGGTTTACGTATCAGGACCATATTTATCTCATACAAGGAGTTTGAGAAAATGTCATATTTCTCAATTTTAGTTAATAACTTAGGTAAAGCTGTAGTTAATAGTTCTCTAAATGTTTGATAGTCAATAAGCATCTATTCAGCACCTAGTATGTGCCAGGCATTGTGCTAAGCATTGTGGGTACAAAGTAAGGTGAAAGTCTCTGCCCTCTAAGAGTTCACAATCTAATAGAATTCATCAAAAAAAAAAAGAATTCATCCTTAATTTCACTGGTCCTAGGATTTCTTTTCTTTGAAAGTTCATTTGTAGTTTGTTTAATTTCTCTTTCTGTGATTGTTTTATTTAAATTATCTATGTATTGTTCTGAGCCCTGAATTTTATTTTTATAAATTTTTTTTATTTTTATAAATATTTATCCATTTAATCCACTAAATTAGTACTTTGCTTGAAAAATTGGATAAAATATTTTCTTTTATTTGTTCTTCATTTGTTGTGATTTCTTTTATTTTTCATTTAAGTACTTAGATGCTTTGCCATTTAATATGTATGTTAATACTGATATCATCTATAGTACCTTTAAGCATAATATATTTTTTTCTGCTTATCTCTTTTAACCATGTCTATTTTTGCTGTTGCCTTGTCTGAAATCATGATTGCTAGGGCTCTGCCTCCCTCGCTATTTTTTTTTTAGTTAGCCGGAAGGAAATAATTTCTGTTCTAGCTCCTCATTTTGGGCAGCTTGCTGGCATAGTAGCTAGAGTACCAGGCCTGAAGTGAGTCTTCCTGAGTTCAAATCCAGCCTCAGACACTTAAATAGCTGTGTAACTCTGGGCAAATCATTTAACTCTGTTTGCCTCAGTTTTCTTATCTGTTGAATGAGCTGGAGAAAGAAATGAAATGAAAGTTATCTCTAACGTGAATTTTTGTTACAAATTTATTTCTTGAAAGCAAGATATTGTTAGATTCTGCTTCCCTCCTGCGTTTTATAGGTCAGTTCATCCCATTCACAGTTAGTATTGCTTAATTGTATATTTCCTCTTATAATACTCTCTTGCATTTCTTTCCTACCTTTGCCTCCCCTTTTATACAGAAGAAGGCAGTGGTGGAAGAAAAGGAATGTGATCAACACTAGAAATCTATAACTGAAATGGTCTGATCTCACTCTTATCCCTTCCTCTCTTCACCATTCTAGGTTGTTATCACTGGGTCTTTTTCTCCTTATTGTCTTCTTTTACCACTGCTTATTCCTTCCCTGATCCTACATTCCCTCTTAAACCTCTCTCAGCTGGTTTTTTTTTCACTGTTAAATTTAATGTATTTCTACAATAAGTTCTTTCCATTTGTATGTTAGAATCTACTTTACTTAGTTTAAATGAGTGAGGTTCTTGAGATATCTTCTCCCCCCACTCCTCTTCCATATTTGTCTACTTTTCTCTCCAATTATGCAAAAATAGTAAGTTCCTCCTGTTTCTTTCTCATTTCTTCCCTAGTGTATTCTTATTTCCATCTTAGACCATTTGTAATACCATTAGGGAGATAATTTAATGTGTTCTGAAAGGAAGGGAGTGGCCCAACCCTGTGACCTGGTGACAGAAATGTTTTCCATACCGTTCTCCTTAGAATGAAACAAAATAACAAGTGTGAGATTAGTGGCCTTGCTCATTTGAACTTTTCTGAGATCCCCTGAGAATTCCATGAACCTTGTGGCTCTCTGCGGAGAATTTCTCCACAAGCAAGTGAGTTTTGTTTGGTAATCTTCCCATACTGTTTGTGAATGGCTTCTTGGACTTGCTCTCTCTTTAGAGCTGGACCAATCATTGGCATACAATCATCTCTAGACAAATGGCTGGGCAGGTGCTTCAAGAGATACAATTGAGCTTCCATAGGTAAATTCAAGTTTGATGTCAGGAAAGTTTCCTAATGATCAAAGCTTGAGGGGCAGCTAGGTGGCACAGCAGATAGAGCCTCTGGACTTGGAGTCAGGAGGACCTAAGTTCAAATCCAGTCTCAGACATGTAACACTCACTAACTGTGTAACTCTGGGCAAATCACTAAACCCCAATTGCTTCAAAAAAAATGGAAATAAAAAAAGCTTGAAAGTGGAATGGATTGGTCACCTTCACCGGACCCCTCCTCACTGGTGGTCTTCCAGAAGACAGTGTTACCACTCGTCAGGTATGTTGAAGTGATAATTCCTTCTGGAGTATGGGGTTGTTGAGATCTCTTCCAATTCTAAAATTCAGTGATCCAGTGATCTCCCCATGTAGGGGAAAGGAGGACATAGACAAGAATCACACTGCATGAGAAGGCATGGATAAGTCTTGATCTGTCCTATTGGATAAAGTATCCAACATCCAGGAGGTCCCAGATCCATTGAAGTTGGAAGTATTGAAAATAAAAATAATGATAGTTAATTATTTATATACTTTAACATTGGCAATATGTATTGTCTTGTGTCAACCCTACAATGTAGGCAGTGCAGTTGTTATTATCTCTATTTTACACATGAGGAAATCGATCTCAAGCAAGTTGAAGTGACTTGTCCAGGGTCACAGAGCTAGTGAATGTCAAAGGTGGCATTTGAATCTAGGCCTTCCTGACTCCAAGCACTTTATTCATTAGATAGTATTTAAAAGTCTGTGTCACAAGGAGGACTTTATTGGGAAGTGTTTTGTTAGAGCATTAAATTATTGGAAGATGTGTTATAAAGTAGCTATCTTATGAGAAGGACTTTGTTATGAGGAAGGTTGTATCACCCATCGCCAAAGTTTACATTACCGAGAGGACTGTTTTTATGAAGAATGAAGTTGTGGGGAAAATCATTCTTTTAAAGAGAGATAGAAATAACATATCCTGCTTGGGTAAGATCTGCCAAAGATCTTATACTCAGGACTTTTCCCCCTGGATTTTTCTCCTTCTTCCTCCATGCCTCCATCCTTGGGTGGCCCTTTCCATCTTTCTCCCTTTCATTTTGGGAGTGGGTTGTTTCTGAGGGCCTCCCGCAGTGGCTCTCCTCTCCAGGTCACCCTTACATCCTCCTTCCCTCCCAGGTTCCCCTCCCAGCACGTGAAGTCCTTGAGGCTCTGGTGACCTCAGATTGAAAGTCCTTTATATAAAACACACACACACACACATTCAACCTTGCAAAGGTTCTTTTTTTTTGTGGTTTCATTTCATTTGTTTATTTCTAGTTTCACACAGGCAATAAGATAACTGATTAATTAAAACCTCTTATTTACATTACAAATTGTGTTCTTGGCTGTCTCACTATATATTATAAACTCTGCAGTAATATAGATTAATAATAAATTTATTTTAAATATGTGGAAGAAAAATAAATTATCATTTTGCTGTAATGTCATATAACAGTTTGGGAGGCAGAAAAGCCAGTCACAGTCTAATTAATCACCCTCTTCTTCCGCCCTTTCTCTACCTCCTGGCTTTGATTGGCCCCACCTGACTCAGCGGACACAGTGAGGTAGCAGGTTTTGAAATACAGTACTGTATAGACATATGTCAGGGACCATAAATGTCCACTGGTTTTAGTGCCCACACGCTGAGTCTTCACCTCTGCGGCTAGGCCTACTGAAATAGCCCCTATCTCCAAGACATGAAGGAATAACTGCTTTAAATAATACAAAACAATAAATAAGACAAGAAGAAATGTCCCTAAGTTGCTCTCTTAGACCTAAAGAGCAACAGGGTCCTGTCAGAAAAGTGTCCCCTCCTCCTGGACTGCCCAGCTAGGAGAGGGTAGTGCTGGGTAATACTGCCAAATCAAACGAGAAATGCACATCTTTTTTGGTTTTGGTTTTGGTTTTCCAAGCCACAGAGGTCTAAACTCCTCCAAGCCAGGCTGGGGCCAGCCAGGGCTCTTGTTTGTCAAGTCCAGAGCAGCTGGAAGCTGTGTCCTAGCTGGTAGTGGGGAGGTCTAGACGGGAGCAGGGCTGAGGCTCAGTAAGCTTCAAAGGAACCCCTTCTTTGGGAAAGAAAGAAGCCCTTTGGAGACCTGAGAGCAAAGAGTAATCTGCCTTCAGTTTTCCTGAGATGGGGCAGTGCAGGCTGAGGGCTAAGCTAAGCAAATCTCTCTTCCCCTTCCCTTCCCTTTCACATCCCTCCCCCTCCCCTGCCGATAAATGTGCCTAAAGTGAAAGTTAGTCTGTAGGATGAATCTTCTATCTGGAGATGTGGGCTTGGGCTCTCATTCTTTAGTAAAGATTCCCAGACTTGGTTTGAATATTCCATCTCTATTATTCTTCAACAAAAAAGTATGTAGGTCCTTCAGAAACCTACTCAGCTGGATCTTGGTGTCTTGAACCTCGAGGCAGGTTTCCTGAAAGAAAGAAAAACCTCCCTTTAGTGACAGTCCAAGAATGACATCCCTCTGGCTGGAGGAGCCTGGAAGGCCGCCCCCCCCAACAGTCTCCCAAGTCTGATGCAGGCCCTTCTGGAGAGTCTGGGTATGTCAGGGGTGGCCAGGGGGTCTTCCTGGAGCCCCGGGCAGGGGCCTAGAACAAAGTGTGTTTTGGATACTGGAAAGTAGCCCAAGGAAGTGAGGCAGACTCCTAGAAATAATCCCATGAGATGGACAGACTTACATTCCTACTGCTGTTGCCCAGAAGAAACTGCATGTTTCTCTTAAGCGGTTCAATTTTCGGGCAGTTGGTAATGTTATTTAGGACTTCCAATGCTGCACAAGGCTGTGGAGGAAAGAGGCCCAGGAGATATGAAGCTCTTTGATACCTGGAATTCAGACCCTGATTTTCTTGACCTTGCTTTTCTTAAGCAGCAAGGGCAGCCCCCTGGGGACGCCATCTCTGAGGGGAAAGGGGGCTATCCTCCTAGGGGCAAGCGGACACAGCATAATCAGCCCCTTGGGCATCATTATGATGACCTACTTTAGGACAATTCATTCCATTTCCTTGGAACTGGGAGGAGAATGGCCCTGAGTGCTTATGACTGAGGAAAGCTCGGTTTTTAAAGAAAAGAGTTGAGGAGAGAGAGGAAGGGGGAAGGGAGGAAAAGGGGGAGAGAGAAAGAGAGGAAGAGTGAGAGAGGGAGGGGGAGAGAGAGAGGAGAGAGAGAGAGAGAGAGAGAGAGAGAGAGAGAGAGAGAGAGAGAGAGAGAGAGAGAGAAAGACTGTGCCAAAGATCCCCTTAGTAACACAGATGGGATATACAATGCAGGGTTTTTCAGCCTCAGCAGAAGGAACTTGGTAAATAAGAGGAGCTAAGACATCAGGTAAAACCCAGAGCTTTTAAACTGGAAATTCTGGAGGGGAGGAAAGTCAGCCTAGGGGAACAGTCTAGGGATACTCTCGTTATTATTGGTGGCAATATTTCATCTGTCTCTCTTACCTTTTCCTTTCTAAAGTTGACTTGCCATACCATACTTGAATTGCAGGATAGCTGAGGAAACAAAACAGAATTCTTATTAGGAGATGCCCTGAAACAGGGCTCAGCCTCCTTTACCCCTTGCCCAAGGCATCCTGTGTCAACGGTCTGGCTGACCCTCACCCCAGCTCCATGGAATTGGTCTCCTTGCTAGGGGAGGTGGGAAAATGACTCTTATTTGGCCTCTTAGTGTCTGTCTAAATGCCCCTATTTTCAGTGCTCCCACTACTACCTGCATCTACCCCTTCCCACCCCTCACCCCCTGCCGTGGAAAGAATATAAGCTTTGGAGTCAAAAACCTAGCTTGGAAGGCCTTGGCTCAGCTACTCTGTAGCTCTATAACCTTGAGCAAGTTACATCCTACCTTTGGGCATTAGCTGCCTCGGTTGTAAAATGAAAGGTTTGGATAAGATGAGCTTTAAAGCTTATGAACCTAAGATCCTGGACTTCACATTCCAGGCCTATTGAAATCCCCTTCTACCTCTCTCCAAGCTGGCCCCAAAGGCAGTCAGTTGATCTTTGCCAGTGCAAGTAGTGGAACCTAAAAAAATCAGTAAATACTCATATACTGTGGCTACAGTTTGTTTTGGGAACCTTAATGAATCCCCAGTTCATTCTCTCAGAGTTTCAAGTTTACTTCTACTGGATCAGCTGATTGAGTGAAAGGGGTGATGCTTACAGCAGAACTAACATGTCAAAGATAATGTTCCCAGCATGGGTTTTTGTCTGTGGTTGGCACTTTTTACCCATAGGTAATATTGACCTGGCCCTATTCCTGGTGGAGCTTCTTCTCCCAGTAACCCAACCAAGCATGTCAAGCCAGGCTGCCTATTCCAAACTCCATGAGTCACAGAACACATCCCACCCCCTACCACAAATATATTGCCCTGATCACAGGATGATCACAGACCCCTCTCCACACACTCACCTGTTTTGGGTTTGTATTTAGAGAATGAAGCTGTAAGATGACTTCTTTCATGGTATCATTTTTGTGGATAGGACTGGAAGAGACATAGCCTTCCAGGCAGGTCAAAAGTATGATCCCCTTCACCCACAGAGCCATGCCTATCCCAACCTCCATCCTGATCTTTGTGACTCGGTAGAGGAAGGGAAATGTCTTCTGAAGCTGGAGCTGTGGTGACCCCTCTGTCTAGCAGTGACTTTTATAGGCAGAGGTAGTGACATGTGACCTCTGCCTCCATTCTGACAACTGGCAAAGAGAATCTAGAAACCACATCTTTTTTTTCAAATAAAAATCATTTATCTTGATTTTACTCTGCGGAAAATCCAGTGTCCCATAAAGGAAAATGTTTGATTTCTTATGGAAGTATTAGAAAGAGGTATTTCAAGAAAAAGTTTCCATGGGTGACACTTACTTTTTTCCAGACTTGGGTGCCTAGGAGCAAATACCTCATTAGGGTATGTGACTGAAGGACCACTCTGGAGGTGTGACTTGCCTGTTCTCAGGGCAGCTGGGTGTCATCATTAGCTTCTTCTCTGTTCCATTGATGTCACTTTGACCTTCTCATACTCCTTCTGAATTAACCTCCCATGATCTTCAGCTGATGCTCATGTATTGTTCAGTGTCCATGAAAGGATGCTGATAAAGCTCATATCACAGAGCCACACATCTGAAAAGACTTGGGAAGTCATTTGGTACAGAACTGCTCCCCTACCCCAACTCCTCTATCACTAACCTGTACCCCTTCTTTGGGCTGGCAGTATATAAGCCGGGTGGCACAGTGGACCAAGTGCTGGGTCTGGAGTTAGGAAGATTCATCTTCCTGAGTTCAAATCTGGCCTCAGACACTTCCTAGCTGTGTGACCCTGGGCAAGTCACTTAAGCCTGTTTGCCTCAGTTTCCTCATCTGTAAAATGAGCTGGAGAAGGAAATGGCAAACCAGTACCTTTGTCAAGAAAACCCTAAATGGGGTTATGAAGAGTTGAGTATTATCTTTAACATTTAGTTCTGCTATAACTGAACAACAACTGAAAAGCTATTACAAGAGGAGGAGAATTTTTCTTGTTTGAAGGAGATTCTACAGCCTTGTCAAGGAATTTTTCATTATTCTTAAACCTAACTCCTTCCTTTCACTGTAAAGTTAACTCTTGCCTTACAAGACCTAGAAAAAAGGTGGAGACAGCTTCTGTACATATGGTGTCAAAGCCTTGGACTAGGAGTCAGGATCCTGGGTTCTAGACCCAGTTTTTCAGTGACTTCATCTTTCTGGGCCTCAATCTCCCCAGCAGCAAAATGAGAGGATTTGGGCTAGAGGGTTTCTGAGTCCTTTCTAGCTCTTAGATTCTGTAGTTCTCTGAGGATCCTGCCAGATTCTATGGTCAGAGATTTAGAGCTGGAAAGGAACTTAGAAGTTCCCCCATTTTACAGATGAGGAAACAGAGGCCTAGTGAGGTCTCAGAGCTAATAATTATCTGAGGTCTTCCATGTTTGTTAGTACCCAAGCCCCAAATGTTTATTTACATTCAAGTAGTTTTCAGTTCGCCTCCAAGACCCTGCTACATTTTCTGTATTTGCAGAATAATCAATATGAGAAAAGTCTCGGTAATCTTTGCACATCAGCCTCCTCAGCCATTAATTGATCAGCTTATGATAAATTCTTCCTGTTGAATCTATGAGTATGAATGTGTGTATAGACACCTCAACCTTCTTTTTATCTTCCTTCATTTTCATATTTGTCCTTTGAAAACTTCCCCTGAGTAGCCCTCTGAAGATATTTGTGTATTTTGTGCTGATTTCAAGGTTTCTGTCCTCAGCCTTCTCTACCTCTTATTGTTAGGGTTTTGACAGTCACATGCTTCTTCCTCAGCTTGCTATCCTGTCCGCTCACTGCCACCTCCTCAACGTCTGCATAGAGTTGGGCTCTTTGCCACCTAGGACAGTCTCCTCTGGCAGCAGGAAAGGAACACAAATCTCAGTGGATCCCAAGGTAGTCTCTCTCTGGAGCCCTAACTAAGATGGGACAACCAGGGCATTGTTGTCTCAGTTTTCAAGAGATACGGGGATACCAAAATTTAGGGGACACTTGTCAACCATCAGAACTGTAGGAATCACTGAGCTTAGCAACTTGTTAGCAAGAATAATTAATTAAAATTGGAAGCTCCCTGCTGGCCAGCTTCCTCTCTTTCCTTTCGTAGCACCCCAGATGAGCTCCTACCTGGCCTAGCCCTGCCCCTAAGTTCTACCAGTGGAGTCCTCAGCAACAGCCTTATGCTGGATAACCCAGGATCTTTTCTCACCTCCTCTCCCAACAACTGAATTTATCTGAAAAAGTTGATCTGAAGGCACCTTTTGTGCTGCTTGCCCAACACAAAAAAATAGCTAGTTCTGACTTTGCCTTCCTCTGAAGGCTGGATAGCCTGGGACCAGAGAAAGGGAGGGCACAGGTCGATAGTAAGGGAAAGGAGGGTGGTCATTGCTTCCTCTATCGAACTTTTCTCCTCCCCAAGATGAGTTTGAGAAGTGGTTTGATAGATAGTCGGCAACGTGAAAGATTCTTAAGTAATGGACTTCCTTGCCATCAGTGCCTTTCATTGTGCAGAATCCTTGTTGATAAAGAGAATCTACGACTGGAAGAAGCTTTAACTTTATCCAGCATGTCTAGCATGATCCAGTGGAAAGAATGCTGGATTTAAAGTCAAAGGGTTTGAATTCTGGGTTTGAATCCCACCTCTACCATTCTGTACCTCTGTGACCCTGGGCAGATCACTACGTGAGTCTTAGCCTCTGTTTCCTCATCTGCAAAATGAGGGCATTAGACTAGGCAACCTCTAAGGTCTCTTTTAAGTTCAAATGAATGGAACATTGGTAGTGTCTTCTTTGGGGACAGAGCCTGAGACACTAAGGAAATATCCCAACTGAAATAGGAATAGCTCACCTTCATAGGAAGTTTTATGATTGACAGAGTACTTTACTCACCACAGCCTTGAGGTCCGCAATGCAAGTATCATTGTTCCCACCATAGAGTCGGAGACTCCAAGAAATAAACTGGTTTTCCAAGAGTCATCCAGTAAGTAAAAGAACCAAGACTTAAGCTCACTAAGCCTCAGAGTTGGAAAGGATTATCCATCTAGGTCAGTGATGTCAAACCCCATTAGAAAAGGGGCCACTAAATCTACATAAGGATCCCTGAAGGCTCCATACTGACTTACAAAACCATGCTAACATGATCCATATTCTATTGTATTTTTATCTATTTTGTTAAATATTTCCCAGTTGCATTTTAATCTGGTTCTTCTGTACTAGGGCAGTGTGTTTGACACCTCTGATCTGGGTGACCTTTCCCCTATACCTAAACAGGAATCTTCTTTACAGTATCCCCAACCACAGTGGTATATGAATTACTTGGGACAAGCAATAATTGTTAACATGGTTTCACTCTGTGAAAGCAATGGTTGTGTGTGCACATGCATGCCTCTGTTGACACTAGGCTGACTCAGAAGTCTGGTTAACCTGTATTTAGTTAGCACAGTTCAGCGCTGTATTTGTGCCACAACCATGCATTTGCTGTGTCATTAATTCTACACTTTTAAAAGAATGGACTTTAAGGAGTCTTTTTTTAAAAGTTGTCATTCGTAAAGTGCATAGAGTAGAGATATCGAAGCGGCTAATTGGTATGGGGACATTAAGCCAAATAGCATCAGGTTCACCAAAGCACAAAGGGAGGTATGTTGAAAAGGAAAAAATAATGCCAAGAACTGACACACTTTTGCTGCAAAAATCTCATTAATCTTCAGAAAACTAGCAAAGACCTCCAGCAAGACCTGGCAGCTAAGTTTGTGATTGATTTCTTCACAGTGTGGTTCCAGCATAGGCTGGAAGTTGGAAGTTGGAAGTTGGAAGAAGGAGCTAGCTTCTCAGAGAGACCCAATAACTATGTTTCGAGGCTCCGGGAGAGACCATGGAGCACGTTCTCTTTGACTGGCTGCAGAGGCATATGAAGAGCCTCGGTTGGCTTTCCATCTTTCTTCACCACATTTTCTTCTAGTGTTACTCTTGGGGAACCTCCATGATTCCTCTGTTCATGGTGGAGACAGTGCTCTAAGTGGGGAGGCGTTGGGGTTTCTCCCTGCTGAGAACATGTTACCCTGTGAAAGGGTCTTGGTTCTTGGTTTCTGTTCGTTCTTTGCTGTTTCAGGTGAAGGAGATTAGTGTGGAGGTCGGGAGAGTGAGCCACAGGAATCCAAGAGCCAGAGTTCAGGTTGCACATTGTTGAGGTCACAAGGGACAAGGAGTGACCTTCACGAGTAGCTTTTAAGGACCCAGGCCAGGGTAATTGAGACAAAGATTCATCCGGTAGTTATGCTGCATCTAGAAGTAAAACTGATGGGTTATGTAGGAACTTTGTTAAGCATGAGTGTGTTCCACTGTCTCCCTTCCCCTAGCCTGTGGTGGTACAGGGGAGAGTATGTCCCTGAGGTATTGGGAAGATATTTGTACTATTCTTCTTGACACATCTTTGAAGTAAATATCTCTTTGTAAAATCTAATTGATATCAAGTAGTTAAATGGAACTAAGGTACTAGTTTCTAGAACTTAACAATGCTTGGGGTAGGGGTGGGGGAAATATAGCCAGAAGGTGGCTCAGTAGATAGAGTGCTGGCCTGGAATCAGCTGGCTTGAGTTCAAATCCTGCCTCAGATACTTATCAGCTGTATGGCCCTGGATAAGTCACTTAACCTGTTTGATTTAGTTTCCTCATCTGTAAAATAGAGATAATAACAGCACGTATCTCCCAGGGTTGTTGAGTGTTGGTTGTTGGTGAGGATCAAACTAGATGTTATTTGTGAAAAGCATTTAGTACAGTACCTGGCATATAATAGGCATTATATGCTGTTGCCCCCTCCTTTCCCCAGTGGGCGCTAGTGTCATGGTATTAGAGGAGAGAGTATCTCAGACATCTCAGGGTACCCATCTGACCCCTGGGGGGCGGGTGGAACAGACCCACCTCTGGGAAAATGAGCATCTTTGCTTCAGTTACTATGAAAAAGATGCTTGTTGAGGGCAAGACAATACAAAAACTGGAGTACTGAAATTTGGAAAAAGGGAATTTTTAACAATGAA